AATCTCTAGCTTTTGCAGCAAAACCAATTTTATATTTGAAATCCCCACACTCGAATCAGGCAAGATCAAGTATTTGTCTGAATGCAACGAAAAATTTGTTCCCCAGTGTTATTATTATTATTATTCTTATATTATGAATTGAATAATTTGTTTTTAATAAAACAGCCAACGTTTTCTTATTAATTTTAACTATCTACTAAGTAGTCCAAGAATAAGGATAATTTTCAAAGTATTAAACTGTTGCGAAATGCATAACTATTTATTTAAACTTCTTAAAGCACTAGACACCAAAAAATAAGCTACGCGTTTCAAGAAATAAATGCATAACCTTACGATTTGTTAGAAATATGACTTTATATATATTTCTGACTACCTGATAAGGGAAAGCTCATTCTTTTCGAACATCTTAGCTTATTATTATTATTATGTGTATAGGGGATTCAGAAATTTTAAAAGCTAGTTTAAATTCTTCAATTTAATTGATTTCTTATTATATTTCAAATTAAATTTTATTTTATTCAATAGAATAAACGAAATGTCTAAAATAAATTTTTGAAAACAGAATTTCATATTTTTATGTCTTAAAGTGTAATGATTCAGTTGATGTAATATCTTGTGTGTAATATCTTAACCATTTATGGTTAGCTGTGAAGCGCGAGGATCAATCAATAAATTTCTAAATTAGAACATCTAATAATATTTTCTTTTTAATTTTTTTGAAATTTATTTTACTCCACGTGTCCACGTGTCTCCCTTATCATCCATTTGCAATGTTTTCTTTCAACAAAGAAAAAAAAGAAAGATAAGCGTGATAAAAGAAAAGTGCAATTTGTCAGTCAAAATTTTCCTTACTGTATACTTTGATAACAATCTAACAGAAAAAGTGTACTTTATTGAAAGTTTTGTCCAGTTAAAAGAATTTTTTAGTTAATTTTTAAACTCATTCATTTAACTAATTAACTTTTATCTAATTTAATAAAAACAAAAATCAATTTTTTTTTCTTTAAATTTTGTGCTTTGTGCCAACATTTTAAGACATATTTAGATGAAAAAATAAGTACAGTTTTAATTTCATCAGTGTCATTTTCATAGTATTTTTTCATCATTACTGGAAAGTAAATTAAACAATAAACTAAACCATCATTGAATATTTCAAAACAATTCCGTTATGGGTGGCATTACCCCATACCCTATGTTTCCAATTTACATTTTTGCTATTTTTTTTACTATTTTATTTTCATTCACAAATTACTTCTTAGATATTTTGGAACAACCTCCTTGAGACCTCAATTTATAACTTGAAATCTCAAATTTTACAAGGTTTTTTTAAATCTTAATCATAAGCAGAATAAGAAGTGGAATATTTTAATTAAAAAGCTTTTTACGAAGCAATAAAATATCTTCTTTTCTATTTTTATAACCTTATAGAAAGTAAAAAAGAAATGATCATTCTAAAATATGGTTATTTTAAAAATATTTTCGCCAAAATGAACATGTCACATTTACGTTTTAAAAAACGTATAATTTAGGTTAGATATTACCCAGACATGACTTCTTGGAATTGAATAACTAAAATGAGAAATTACTTATACTAGCTACACTTACTAAAAAATTGGTACACTTAATAAAATAAAATAAAAATTCTTTTCTTCGAAAGTTAGTGACTTTTTCAACGAAGCTTTCTACAGCTCTATTTAGAAAATTCAGCTGCTCTATTTTCCTATTTTATGCATGCGTTAAAATATTTAAGCAATATTAAATGATAATAAGTTATATAGAATAATTAGTAATTTGAAATAATGATTATTAAAATTCACTTAAAATTCAAGTGTAAACTAAAATCTACTAAACAAAACTAGTTTGTAACTGAATCATTTCTTTAATAGTCAGATTTATAATAATAGTAACTTGATATCACAATGACGTAACAATGACGTAACTTATATATTATAGAAACTATCAGTTACGTCATTGTTTCACCAAATGAGCGATATTAAGTAACATTTCGTCAAATAGGAATTTGCGGCTTAAAAAATCGCTTGGAATAAAACTTGACATTCAAAGTTATCAGGATCTGGACTTTTTATGAATTATTTCATTAATCTTGGGAATACTAAGAGAAGACAAATGTACTTCAAAGAAAAGGAAGAAGACATTAATAAACATTATTTACTGTAAAAGAAAACAGTTGTTTTCTTGAAACTACTTTTCTGTGGCTTACTTTTGCATAAATTTGAACTATTAATTCATATTTTTAACCCCGAATCATTTCTTTAAAAATTAAACAGCTTTATAATACTAGTAACTTGATATTATTTTATGAAAAACAGTTGAAATTTGTAACCCAAGTCCTCAAAACGTACAGATGTTTAATCCAATTTCTTATTAAGTAACATTTCGTCAAATAGGAATTTGCAGCTTAAAAAATTGCTTGGAATAAAACCTGACATTCAAAGTTATCAGGGTCTGAAATTTTCATGAATTTTTCCAATAATCTTGGGAATACTAAGAAGAGACAAATGTATTTCAAAGAAAGGGAAGAAGATATTAAGAAACACTATTAACTGTAAACAAAAAAGTTGTTTACTTGAAACTACTTTTCTGTAGCTTACTTTTCTATAAATTTGAACTATAAATTCATATTTTGAACCTAAATCATTTCTTTATAGCTTTATAATACTAGTAACTTAATAGAATTTTATTTGAAAAAAATCATTGAAATACGTAACTCAAGTACTCAAAACGTACTGATGTTCAATCCAATTTCTCAAAAAGTAACAATTCGTCAAATAGGAATTTGCAGTTTAAAAATTTCTTGGAATAGTAACTGACATTCAAAGTTTTTAAGATCTGGAATTTTCCTGAAATATTCCATTAATTTTGAGAATACAAAGAAAAGACAAATGTACTTCAAATAAAAGAAAGCAGATATTAAGAAACACTGTTTACTGTAAAAGAAAATAGTTGTTTTCTTGAAACTACTTTTCTGTAGCCTACTTTTCTATAAATTTGAACTATAAATTCATAATTTCAAACCTGAATCATTTCTTTAAAAAATAAATAGCTTTATAATACTAGTAATTTGATAGAATTTTATAATAAAAAATAATTGAAATACGTAACTCAAGTACTCTAAACGTACTGATGTTCAATCCAATTTCTTAAAAAGCAACATTTCGTCAAATAGGAATTTGTAGTTTAAAAATTTCTTGGAATAATACCTGACATTCAAAGTTTTCAAGATCTGGAATTTTTCTGAAATATTCCATTAATCTTGGGAATACAAAGAAAAGACAAATGTGCTTCAAATAAAAGGAAAAGGATATTAAAAAACACTATTTACTGTAAAAATAAAAATAAAAAGTTGTTTTCTTGTAACTACTTTTCTGTAGCTTACTTTTCTATAAATTTGAACTATAAATTCATATTTTTAACCTAAATCATTTCTTTACAGTTTTATAATACTAGTAGAATTAATAGAATTTTATTTAAAAAAATAATTGAAATACGTAACTCAAGTACCCAAAACGTGCAGATGTTCTATCCAATTTGTTATGATGTCACATTTCGTGAAATAAGAATGAACGGTTTCAAAAGTTGCTTGGAATAACACCTGACATTCAAGGTTATCAAGATCAGAAATGTTCATGAAATATTCCATTAATCTTGAAAATACAAAGAAAATATAAATGAGTTTCTAGTAAAAGGAAGAAGATACTCTTAAGAAACATAATAACTGTTAGAAATCAGTTATTTATTTGAAGTTTATTTGCTGTAGCTTAATTTTCTTTAAATTTGCTTGTTTTACTATAATGCGTAATTTTTTTATTGAAATATTCAAAAGATCTTCCATGTATTTTTCTTTTAAAAGAATAGTATCATAAATAAATAAAATCACTAATGTACTCAATTTCAAAAAAATTTTAAAATCTATGTAAACTGTTAACAATTTCGGCAGTCACGTAGCTGGTTGATAATATTTGAGGAATCCAAATATTTTTTTAGCTTGCTTTACTATAGTGCGTAATTCTTTTAATATATAATTGATATATTCAAAAGATCTTTCATGTATTTTTCTTTTAAAAGAATAGTATCATAAATAAATAAAATCACTAATGTACTCAATTTCAAAAAAATTTTAAAATCTATGTAAACTGTTAACAATTTCGGCAGTCACGTAGCTGGTTGATAATATTTGAGGAATCCAAATATTTTTTTAGCTTGCTTTACTATAGTGCGTAATTCTTTTAATATATAATTGATATATTCAAAAGATCTTTCATGTATTTTTCTTTTAAAAGAATAGTATCATAAATAAATAAAATCACTAATGTACTCAATATCAAAAAAATTTTAAAATCTATGTAAACTGTTTAGAATTTCGGCAGTCACGTAGCTGGTTGATAATATTTGGGGAATCCAAATATTTTTTTAGCTTGCTTTAATATAGTGCGTAATTCTTTTAATATATAATTGAAATATTTAAAAGATCTTTCATGTATTTTTCTTTGAAAAGAATACTATCATAAATAAATAAAATAACTAATGTGCTTACTATTAAAGAAATTTTAAAATCTATGTAAACTACTTAGAATTTCGGCAGGCACATAGCTGGTGTATAATATTTGGGGAATACAAATATTTTTTTAGAAAATTTCTAAATATATGATAATAATATAAGTTTCACTCTTGAAAGGTTTTCCTTGGGGAGCGGACCTTCTCAGACCCCTCTCCACCACGCCTCTGAATTTTGGAGCCTTTTTAATCAAACCGATATTATCCGGTTAACCGATATTATCGCACAAATTAATTCTTAAATTTCCTTACACGAGTTTTTCGAAAAGGCTTAAGAAAGCACCTGACATTCAAGGTTATCTAGAACTGGAATTTTCAGGAAATATTTTTTTTAATCTTGTGAATACAGATAAAAAAAAAAGCAAATAATGGGAAGAAACTATTAAGAATCACAATTAACTTTTGAAAATTAGTAGTTTACTTACATAAACTTGTTTCCATCTTGATAGGAAGTATGATTTAAAATCTCTTTTTAAAGCTGCAAAAAATTTAAACGGTATTATGGTTCTACGTTAATTCGAATTTTTTGAGAATGTAATATGTAGAATTGCTCATATATAAATTTCATTTAAAGTTTTAGAATTTCCATAGAAACTATTAAGAATCACAACTAACTTTTGAAAATCAGTAGTTTACTTACATAAACTTGTTTCCATCTTGAGAAGAAGCATGGTTCAAAACGTTTTTTTTTAGGCTGCAAAAAATTGATACGGTATTATGGTTTTACGTAATTCTATTTTTTAGAGAATGCAATATATAGAATCGATACTGTATGAATTTCATTTAAATTATTCAATTTTAAATGACATGTGCGATTAATCGAAGAAATTCGAATTCCCGTTGAAAAAATCGAGGCAATTCGTCTTAGTCTCAAAAAATTACACTATTTGGCTATTTATGCATCTTTTCTTTACACTGTAGAAAAAAAAAAAAGAAACTTTCGAGTATCTGAACACCAAATATGGTGGCACTTACTTTTACCAAAGTGGTGTTAAAATGCACAAAAACTCTATGAAGTTACTGTTACTGTGAAACACCTAGAATGTTCTTTCACACTACTTGGTACAAAGTAGCGAAATACAAGTTTTCAATAGAACCGAAGTGCAAGTATGTCATCAAATTTGGAGACATATTACACCACCGACTTAAAGTGTCTTATAAACAGCATATTATTCGCCAAAAAGCTTTATTTCATATAACGGCTTTATTTATATGACGGAAAAGCTTTATTTTTACAGCGTCGAAACAAAATAACTTATGAACATGAAGTTTAAAAAGTTGCAAATATGTTGTGTTGAATTGCGTTTATCGAGGTTTGCAACTGGAAGACTTGTCTTATTCTTATCCGTATGCATACATATATGGGTCATTTCATAGAGACTAACGTTACATTTTAGGATATATTGATGAGTTTATTTATTGAAATTTTAATAAATAAAAATAATTTTGTTCCATTCTTGAGTATAATATAGCAAACTATGCTTATGTATGCATCAGAAACAAATAAATGCAATTATTAGGTTTTAAAAATTAATTTCTAGAAATTGACTTATAAGAATTTTTGTTTTTTGTGCAACAAAATTTTTTTCTCTTCTCAAGGTCAAATCTCAAAGTCATTATATTTCGAAAATTATTTATTTCTGATAATTTTATATTTCACGCTGCAAAAATCTTTCCTTTTTTTTTTTCTTTTTTCTTTTTTTTNTTTTTTTTTTTTTTTTTTTTTTTTTTTTTTTTTTTTTTTTTTTTTTTTGCTTTATACATAGCAAAGGGCAAAGGAAAACAAAAACTTCTAAGCGTTAAATACATTATATTTCGACGATTATTGAATATGGAGTATTTTGCTCTCTGCTCTACAAAAATCTTTCTTGCTCTTTGTGGAATAAAATTACAAAATTTAGCAAATTCCACCAAAGTCTAATTTCTATTATATTTTACCTTCTTATAATTTTATAACCTAGTAAAATTATTTCAGAAATTACCTTCGTATAATTTTATAACCTAGTAAAATTATTTCAGAAATTACCTTCCTATAACTTTATAACCTAGTAAAATTACTTCAGAAATTACCTTCTTATAATTTTATAACCTAGTAAAATTATGTCAGAAATTACCTCCCTATAACTTTATAACCTAGTAAAATTACATCAGAAATTTCCTTCTTATAATTTTATAACCTAGTAAAATTATTTCAGAAATTACCTTCCTATAAATTTATAACCTAGTAAAATTATTTCAGAAATTACCCTCTTATAATTTAATAATCTAGTAAAATTATTTCAGAAATTACCTTCCTATAATTTTATAACCTAGTAAAATTATTTCAGAAATTACCTTCTTATAATTTTATAACCTAGTAAAATTATTTCAGAAATTAAAATCAGATTGTTTTTTTACAGTGGGCTCGAATAGTTCTTGTGGTAGAAAGAGGAGTACCACCTGCTATTTGTTTACAACAACAAAGAAACTATTCTCAGGCAATGGCTGATGGCCGAAGAGCTCTTGTTTTGAGATTGGAACATAATGTAAATACCGTTTACTATATTCACGTAAAATAGCTCTATCTGAAAATATCATTAAATCAACTTCATATATTTAAAACATTAATGATCAAGCTGCAATGCTTCACTTATATTTTGTAAATTATTTTAAAAAGTTAAATAAACTAAGAGATTACACTAAAAATCTTACCTGAGGACTCTTTAAAGAAAAAATCATGCACGGAGAAAAGATTTGTGGTAAAATTACCGCACTGTATGGTAATACCATTTCTTGTAATAATAATAATAAAAACACATAATTCTAAAACCAAAGTAATTGTTGTTTAAAAATCATTTATTTGTTCATAATTAAATTTATATGGAGACTGTTTAACGGTTTCAAATTGTAGTCCTTAAAACCAAACGTTTAAATAAAATAAAAACTGAGAGGTAAATTTAGCCGAATAAATGGTTTTTATATCATTCTTAAAGGTATCATAGTAAAATAATCAAATTTTCCCACATTTATTAAATTTTATCATTTATTATGACACTATATTTTATGGTTAATTTAACCAAAACCATTACTAATACTCTTCGGTAAAAATTACCGAGCTTTTTTGGTGTTCCTATCGAGCCAGAAATACGGTAAATTTAACCATATTCTAGTAGTTTTGACCATAGTTTTTTTCTTTTTTCAGTGTGCCTCTTACAGAGGTAAAGCAAATTTTAAAAATTTTCAATTATTATTGTTATTATTATCAATGTTATTATTATTATCAATGTTATTATTATTACATTGCTAATAAGACTTAAAAATAACAGTATGTGCCTCGTCTTGCAGCTGAAAACACATTGATCTAAAAAAAAAATTTATAATTATATGGAGAGAATTTCTGTTTAAAAAAATTAAAACATTAATTTTGGAAAATCTGAAAAAGACCTCAGCCGTCAATTTTTTTTACGTTGTTTCACCAATGTGTAATAGCTTCACACTTATATTATTTTTAATGACTCATTAAACTTGCGTTTTCAAATCGAATTTGCGAGTGTTTATTTCGTAAATTTTAAGATACGGTATACATGACTTACTACGAGTAATATAAAACTTTTTTCTTACAGCATTTCATAGAATAAAGTAACTTAAAAATATTTTTTTAAAGAAAAAAATATCGTTAGATATGTAAAAAAATATTTGAAAATTCCTCAATAAAATTAGTAAAATATGCAACTTATTTGACGCGAATGTCAACTGAAGGTTTTTATACAAAATGCGTAACTGAATAGATTTAGTTTTATTTTATAACCGTCGTTGAACAGCCGACCCAATTTTTTGGTTTTACGACCACTAATGTTCAACTCCTCAGCCTTGTTATTTTGAACCTAATCCAGAAGACAAGGGAACTCCTGGATCAAGTATTGGGAGAAATTTAGCCTACGTGGAGGACTTTTTGATGGAACTAACCCACATTTGCGTTACTTAGAATACCATCATATTGGGGCCATGGGAATTTGTCGATAAGGCTAGTCAAAGTTTCTTAGTGAAAACATTATTTTATTTTATAATCATCGTTGAACAGCCGACCCAATTTATTGGGTTTACGACTACTAATGCTCAACTAACTCAGTCGCTGTGTAATTTTGAATCTGATCCAGAAGACAAGGGAACTCCTGGATCATATATTGGAAAAAATTTGGCTTCGTGGAAGACTTTTCGATGGAACTAACCCACATTTGCCTTATATGGAGAGGAAAATCATGAAAACCTCTCACGGTTAGCCTGAAGGCAAGGAGACTCGAACCCATGATCCGTCTATCACTGAGGATATTCTACGTTGGCCGGGCTAGCCTGGTCAGCAGGGCGTTGAACTCACTTTGTGAGACCGGGAGCGTGAAATCAGCTGGCCGAAAACTCCCCGTGTATTCAATGGTGACTGGTGCACATTAAATCTGTCTGTTCACAAAGTCCTTCATGTTCCCATAGCAAATCAATACGTCTGGTGGTACTGAATTGGAGATTGATTGTTCTCTTCAAAATAACGATCTGAGGACGAATGAATGGATGTATGAATGACTCGGTCCTATAAACGGGTGTGACATATGGGTGTGGCAGAAGTCAAATTCTTGGCCCTAGATTGTGCCACGGGAAAACAAGAACAATCGTATTCCCTCTGCTTTAATGATCAACGACAACAACAAAAAATATATTTCCTAAAAGTAATGAAATAATAAAAGTGAAAAGAATTAAACCCATCTGCATTTAATTGCATATTACTTCTACTGTGCTTAAAAGCAATTTAGCTTCGTGTCATTTTGACGGAAATTGTTGTTTACTATATTTTATGGAAGCAAACAAAGACAGAAAAATATTAAATCATAACAACATTTCATATATTTCTGTTCCTGACAATATTCTCTTTTCATTTCTCATAAATGTCAGACCTCTCTTTTGTTATCTTCCTCCAACACATTACAAATAAACATCATTTCAAACTGTTCTTAAAGACTTAGAAACTATAAATCATTTTCCGCTCGGGAATTTTAGAAAATATTTTTTCTGATGAAAATATTACTTTTCTACCAGTTGTCATAAAATAAGACAATTTTATGAAAGCTTAATTTTAAACAATTGCCGGGAGAAAAAAAATTCTGGTAAAATTACCGTATTGTATGGTAATGATATTTCTAATTAAAAGAAAATGCATAATTTTCGGCTCGGGAATTTTAGAAAATATTATCTGACGAAAATATTATTTTTCTTCCAACTACCATAAAATAACACAATAAAATAAATCAAACAATTTTAATATTGCAGCATAATATCATCAGTTGTATTAAAAATTATAAACATCAGTTTTTATAAATTTTTAAATTTTATTTTTTTTAAAAAGACTCATAGAGAATTTTAAGCATTTTTGTGTACTACTCTTTATATGTTTTAGCAGTATTAAAGAATTCATTTATATTTTAAAAATGATTCAAATAATGCATCCCAGATGCTTGTAAATATGCATGAGTTTTACAAAAATAAATTATCACAAAAACTACATTTTTCACAACTGTTACCGTTTCTTTCCTTTTCATATTTTATTGTTTTGAAATTGAACTAAATATTTTGTCTTAATTTATTATCTCATTTATTTGTTTTTGTTTTTAGGAAGCTGAGAAAGAAGAACTACGTTGTATTTCTGAAATGCGAACCTCTAACTTAGAAAGTAGGAATCGAAGGAAAAAACTGTTCGAAGAAAAAAAACGAAACATAAAATAATGGATGCTTAATACTATGTCATATTACCTAGAATAGTACAAAAAACTGTTTTCTATTTTAATTTTAATTTCTATCTCCTTAAATTTTAATTTAATTTAGCATATGAAAGTGCATATCACATTAAAATTAAAGACTATTTAGTGTTTTATTGTCTTATTAAATTGAGTCAATATAAATAAAAAGCATATCTCATAAAAATAATCCCTTTTCGTATTTTCATTTTTACGTTTCACTGCATTACTATATATTAAAAGCATAACACATAAATATGAAAACTGTTTTATATTTTTATTACCTCCTATAACTGCATACATATAAATAAAAAGCGTATCAATAAAAAAATAAGACTGTTTTCTGTTTTTACTATGACATTTGATTGCAATGCAAATAAGAAACCTATCACATAAAACTATAGGCTGTTTTGTGTTTTTAACTATCGCAATTAACTGCATGAATGTAAATAAGAAACCTATCACATAAAGATAAAGACGGTTCTGTGTTGTTACTATCAAATTTAACAGCATCAATGCAAATAAGAAACCTATCTCATAAAAATAATAACTGATTTGTGTTTTATTATCACTTTTAAGTACATCAATGCAAATAAAACATCTGTCACATAAAAATAAAGACTGTTTCGTGTTTCTAGTATTAAAAATAAAACATATATCACATAAGGAGATACATTTTCGTTTTTTTTTTTTTTTTTTTTTTTTTTTTTTTTTTTTTTTTTTTTTTTTNTTTTTTTTTTTTTTTTAATATCACTTTTCACTGCATTAATATAAACAAATACATTTCATTTAAAAAACTTTTTTACATTTTTATGACAACAATATTAAACTGCTGTTTGTAGAAAATGCAACACCATGAAAGAATCATCAGAATCAAATGAAATTTAATGCAGAAACGACTTGTACTGATACAAATAAATGNTAAAAATAGAACTCACTACTAATTATTATTCTATTAACTAATTCAATTAATTATTATTCAATTCGCAAACTAATTATTCGATGTCTTGTAGTCGAAAATTTCTAATGTTTTATTAATTGAATTACAAATTTCAATGACATTTTCAGAATGTTACTCTTTTAAAAATTAAAAATATATAAGTAACATTTTTCTTAATAAGAATATAATAAATGTTGTTGTTGCTGTTGTCGTAGGCCATTGAGGCAAGGGGGTGCGATTGTTCTTGTTTTCCAGTGGCGCCATCTATTGCGAAGAATTCGACTTCTGCCTCACCCATACGTCATACCAGTTTATAGGGCGATCCCATTCACGCATCCGTTCATTTATCCACAGATCGTAATTTTGGTCTGAATCAGAGAACGATCAATCTCTAATTCAGTATCCTCAGAGGTATGATTTGTTATGGGAACATGGAGGGCTTTGTGACCCGATAAATTTATCGTGCACCAGTCACCATTTACTACACGCGGAGTCCTCGGCCTGCTGGATTCGAACTCCCGTTCTGAAGAACATGAGTCTAGCGCCCTGCCAATCAGGCTATCCCAGCCAATATAATAAATAATAAATTTAAATTATTTTCTAGCCGTCTTCGGTGATCAGCAAGTTCACCTTCAAATTTACTTTGCGTTGGAAACAATTGAGGGATATCATTTTCCCAACACTTCCTCTGATCAAAGATACAAAATATGGAAACAAATCTTGTTCAGTTTTGTCCTTTATTTGATAAGGAGTATCAGGTCAAAATTTGAGACTTCAATCATCGTAGCAAACTTTTATTTAGCATAACTTTCAATTTAGGGTTAATTTGGGTTCAATTAAATACTCCTAATTTGTTACAAAATGCAGAAGCAACCTATTTTTAGCTTTTCCTTATATCTGATAAGAAACACATTGTGCAAGTTGTAGACATCTATCTCGTTAAAAACGCATTATTTAGCAGTTCTGTTAATTTAGCAATTCTGTCTAATTACTCCTAATTACAAAAATAGTTACAAAATAACATAATGTAATTTTTTCTAGCTTTTCCCTATATCTGATATGAATTCATAGTGGTTCAAATTTGATCTCGATAGAAATGTTTTATTTACATTGCTGTCAATGAGACTAACTACCCCGAAAATTGCAAAATATCGAAATGACACTTTTTTTTAATTTTTCTATTTGTCTTATGCAGAAACCATGATCCGAATTTGAGACTTATATGCAGGCAAAAACGTCTTATTAAGCATGACTGACAATTAGGCTGATCACCCTAAAATATCCCAATAATTACAAAATATATACTAAGGAAAAATGTATGGTACTATTTGAATATGGTAAAATTTACCGTGTTTCTGGCTCTATGGGAACATCAAAAAGCTCGGCAATTTTCACTGCTAGGTAAAATTAACAATAAAATATCGTTAGTTGTTAAATATAATATATAATAGAATTTGATAATTTTATCATTATACCTTATAGCAGGGCATAAAAGCCATTTATTCGGTTAAATATACTTTTCCGTTTCATATTTTTTACCTAATATGTGATAATAAGAACTATAATTTCGAAAGTAAGAATTTCCGGTAAACTGTTAACATACGAACAGAAAAATTACCAAATGAATGGTTTAAATACCGAATATTTTGGTTTTATTAAACAGAATTATGATTTTTTTTTTACCAGAAATGCCATTACCATACAATACGGTAATTTTACCAGAAATTTTCTTCGCGCGGAACAGAAACTTTTTTTTTCTCTGAAACACTTCTCTTCTGAAACTTTTACAAACTATTATCCCATGATGCAGAACACATGGTCCAAAGCTATATATATATATATA